AAAGAACACTCTTTTCAGACGACGCCAAAATCTGGAACACGGTAACAGAACCAGAGGGCTCTCTAACACTTCGAGAATCACTTAACGCAGCTTATCAATGGTCAAAGGAGAACGACATTGAATTTAATGTTTCTAAATGCAAAGTCCTGTCCCTACGCCACAAGCGGAAATTCTCGTATTTCCTCGTAAATCAGCAGCTATCACATACTTCTAACGAAAAGGACTTAAGTATTGTTGTTCAAGAGGATTTAGGCGGCTCCAACAACTGTGCTAAGGCTTCGTCTGCTGCTACGAAGAATGTCGGCTTAATTCGGCGAGTCTTTGGCCGGTTTGAATCATCACTATTCCCACGTTTGCTCTCAGCGTACATTCGACCCTACACAGAGTACGCCATCCAAGCTTGGAGTCCATGGCTTCAACGTGACCGCAAGATGCTTGAGTGTCCACAAAGGATGTCCACCAAGATGATCAAGGGATTGCATTACCTGACATGCGAGGAGAGATTGCGATCATTGGGACTATATTTTGCTCATTACCGCCGAACTTGAGGAGACTTGATTTTGACGTCTCAAATACTGCAGAACCCAAACCATCCGTGTCGATCGCTTCTTATGTTATCGAAAAATGTGCACCTAAGTGGACACCGTTTCAAGTTACTGATTCCCAAGTGTCGACTGGATTGCCGGTGCCAGTCTTTTGTAGTCAGAGTATGCAGATCTTGGAGCGCCCTTCCATCTCCTGTCGTTTGTGCACCCACTATTGAATCTTTCAAGCGGAGACTCGATGAAACCTTGCACACCTCACATTCTTAAACCACTAAAAGCAAACGGAAATTCAATGAAGCCTGTATTGTCTATTATCCCCTACCTGGAAGTCTGTGACTCCTCTTTCGACATGTATCGATTCATCTGTGTAAATATCCTATGGGACAAAAGAAGCACGAGCTTGTAAGTTATTCCCATAATAAAACTTTGACTTTGACTTTGAGGTTATAAAAAATAATCCAGCTGACGCTGTCTGTGATGTGCAAAGTTGCAACTGTATTGTTGTTGTTCACCATGGTTTCAAAGTTAAACACACGTATACAAACAAAAGCACTCTGCGTGACTACAGTCATGCACGTTTAACCAGTGCGATGGATTTTAGGGCCAAACGAGACGGAAGCAAGCCATCTGCAGGAATTGTTCTTTCTCAGCAGTTCAGAATCAGCATGCTACAGTTCAAGCTCACTGTATTATCTGTTTTTTTTCTTCAGGTGTTCACAAACGTAAGCAAAATACTGATGAAATGTTCAAAAAATGCTTTGATTTAACAGTTTTTGTTTGAAAAATGCTCGCACTGGCGGTAATCGAGGATGATGAAAGGATAGGTGATAAAGCGCCGATCATCTGATCAGCCATACAAATGCGTTTGAGAATAGAAGAAGCTCACAACTAGTTTGTGTGTGTGAGTGTGTGTGTGTGCGTGCGTGCGTCTGTCTTTAGCAAAACAAGCCATTCCCGAAAAACCCGCACGTGCGTTGGTAATCAGACAAACACTATTTTCCATACTAGTAAGTGGGTCTATGGAAATCAACGGTTATCCTGTAAGCTGAACCAAGTGAATAATGTCTATTGCTCACACACACACGGTCTGTGGAACTACACAAACTCCGTGCTGACGCCACTGACGGAAGGTGATCGTTAGAAAATGAAAGCAAGCTAATGTCTGATAGCTCATTCATTATATTGATTTATTTAGGTCTTGAATTTTGTATTCCGTCCAGATTATCCACTGCAGTTAACAAGGATCAGAGTGCCTATAAACCAGCTAACCCTAAGTGGATTCAGTCTCCTTCCTCTGGAATGGTTTTGCATAGAAATGGCTATGCACGGAATAGTTCACCGCTTTCTATCTTGCAATTTGTATATTAATGCTGAGGCGCATGTCATAAAAGAGAAGAGATAGTATATGTGTCTATGTACATTCTAGATGGATTTAAGCTACTAAAATATGACCCTTTTTGGGGCCCACAAATAATAGCTACCCTGCACAAACGGTATCTGTCATACATGTGGAAAAACAGAATCATTCTGATGAAGACGGCTTGAAAACCTTTTAAACAGACATGTCTATTGAGTACTGAAAAACAGGCCCCATGAGATACAACTCATCTGTATCAAAGAAAAAGAAAAGGTAATTTACTTTTGCCGGTGGTACCGGTAATCCACGACGTCTGGCCTCCTCTTCCTCATGCTGCCGCAAATCCTGTTCCCAGCGTTGTAGACGCTCACGACGCTTCTGACGTTTACGTCGTATCACGTCGTAGAAGCACCGACAACAGACGATATTCACGTAGATCAGACGAAATATTCGGGCCAACAAATTACCGATTATGGCCAGATAGATAAGCATAAGTGGAATCCCGATCATGGCATACACGATACAACTGATACGACCCCAAAATGTGAGCGGAGCGATGTTTCCGTACCCTGTTATTGGGAGGAACACAGAAAAATTCACTTAAAGTATGAAAACTCAGTATTGCTGAATGCCATTTAGACTTAAAATCATCCACTGGTATGTTTAGTAATAACGTAAGATACTTTTGCAGCTCACGCATGTTGATCCTCAATTGGTTGACTTTGAATCAGTAATAACGAACAAACCGAAACTCTGAAACGTATGCCAAACCAACCCACAGACTTTGTCCACCTACACGTTCCTCCATTTCTCCAGTCAATTATACAATCGGGAATCAAGCACTAGAGACTTAAATTTTGATTGTGTTATATTTAATCAATATTGTACATTCAACAATCTATCATGTTGTTGAAAAAAAACCCAGATCAGCTGGTTGTAACAGGGATAGCCTGTCTTTTATGCGAACTGTTCGAAGTTCAAATCCCGGAGGGCGGATAAGCACTACTGACGAGATCTAGTAAGACTGAAGCTCCAGTCAATGCTTTGCTCGTGTATGGTGGATTGAATAAACGGATACTCCGCGTGGAGGTAAAGTCTGAACGATCGTCAATGAAAATCAATAACAGCTCATCCCACAATACGGAATCAACTCAGTTTAACGCCGGATGTCAAAAGCTAATAACATTTCAACTTGAACATTGTTCTGTCGAAATTAAATATATTTGGCAAAATTCGGATTGTACTGTCAAAGATAATATTTTATTATTCCATGAGAAATAATTGAGCACCACAGAGATATAAATCCACCCAATTGACCGCACAGTTTCAAACCGACTGATGAAGTTGACTTGATGCCGATGGGAATAAATGGAAAATATCGAGAACTTCTTAAAAATGTACTTTCGGAGAGCTCTCAACAAAAACCATTTCTTTTGGGAACACCAATATGTATTGATCCATACGCAGCCGGGGTCAATAGATCCAATGCTAATCAGTCTTATTTTCGTGCTTAGAGCAGTTGTTTGCACAATTTGTGTGTACATAAAAGCCTCGTGATGCTATTCTAGCGAGCGATTGCTTTTCTTTTATGTTACCTTTTTAGATATTTTTTAGGGTTTTTTCCATGTGAGCGCAGGTATTTTTTGCTAGGCATAGAAATCAAAGAATGCGGTCATTTATGCTGTTCAACTGGCAGTTAGTGTTTAGTTCAAAAATAATATGCAAGGTTAACTTAAACACTGCTAAAAACAGCTTACACAGAAACGGTGTTGCGTAATCTTGTATTTAGTGAAGGTTCATCGAAATAAATCACAAATGCATCAACAGAGCAACAATACACTCACCGATGGTTGTCACAATAGTGGCACAGAAAAAGATCGCATTGGCCAGATTCCACTTGGCCCCGTTGTCCGTACCCAGAATAATTGAACAATCGGTGCTAGGTTGAAAATCCAAAATGAACAACTGATCGGCAAAATTGGCCATAATTTCACGAACTAGGCTGTCCCGACGATCGTTGTCTAGCGTGGACTCCACCGTGCCGATCACGCGAGCTGCCGATGAGTTCAGTTTTTGTAGATAACCCTCCTGTTTCTGGTAGCATAAGAATGATTCATTCTCTATCTCCAATGCCCGAAACAGATAGCCACCCCCAATCAGATATCCGACCAAAGCAAAAAGTAAAACAATTTGGGTCAGTATAATTTTTACCAGACGTTTACATTGCTCACCGGCTTTCCGTTCCGGTGCTCGTCGACTCACAACCACCGCTTTTCCGCGTTCATCGACCACAGTCGTAGTGATCGCGGGAGTGGAGAAGTCCAGTTGTTCCGCTACGTCGGGCTTGAATTTCATGATACTACCAAATAGTTTATTCAGCCGGTTCTAAACTTGACCGCGTAATGTTTGGTCTGAATGTGGACGAACTGAGACTGCGACCATAACCAGCCAGCTAACTGGTCTGGAACAATAGCACCAAGCTATGAAACGTAACGCGCCATTCTATTGGTCGTTCACCTAAATAGGACTGATCAATTGAGTAGAATACACTATTGTTTCTGTGAGAATTTCCTGTACTCCGCCCCCATATCGCTCCCCCTCTCTCGGTACTCTGCTTTTCCTGTAACCATCATTAACCGGATGTCACCACCACTAACCACTGTTCCCCCCTCTCTCTTCTATTCATACTCTTGGCCGCACATCTGTCCGGGCCTAATAGCGAAAATTTGGAAGGTGTGTTAGACTAAATCATGCGGTTAAACAATTCCTCCTGCCAAAACATGTTGATCTTTGTTTGACTCGTTGCCATAGTTAATTGGTTTCGTGAATGCACCAATCAGGCGATCGGAGAAAATTCACTTTTAACCAAAATAACATATCTTCTCGGTTTGTCCTCCAAACAGTTGCCCTTAGTTCCAGCATGAGTTCAATAAAAAAGGGATCACATATTGCACATGGGTTACGAGTAGGTTTCCGTGTTCTAAAATGGGATAAAAATAAGCGTAATTATCCATTATGATTAGATGTGCCCTTCACCACGAGGTGAACCAAAGTAATTGCACGAGACCAAATATTAGGGGCTGGTTTAGACAGACACACACAGACATAAAATGTTTTCCTCAAATTGGTAAAAAGAAAAACGGATGCCATGTTGACCTGTTGATGTGATACACACAACAGGAGAAATGTGAAATACATTGAAGATTATTTTATCACAGCATATCTTGAATTGATCGCCGAAGTTTATATATACATACGGGTGCACAAAGAATTTTCGTACACCAAATAGTCAGATTCTCAAACGGCCAGATTCGAATTCTTGGTCTCACTGTCGCGTTCCACCAGTATTTAGAAATTACTGATCGTTGGTGTAGATTTCTTTATAGGTGGAACTAAGCTCTGGTGCAGTATTGATTGGCTGTGCCAGTT